CACCTACATTATTTCATTCTTTACTTTTAAAATTATTTTTATGTTCACCCTACCAATATTTTCTTGTGGGTAATTTTGATTTCTAAATACTTTTAGTGATAACTGTTATTAAAGGTGCATATCAATTTAATCAAACCATTCTGAAAAGATACTCTTTGTGTACCATTAGGCATTGAAGTCCTCTTGCTAACAAATTTGTGAATACAAAGAGTTTATCTAATTTCTTACAAAACTAGTACTGTTATCAGCTTCTTTTACCATTCCTGCCTATGCAATTATTCATCCTCATCAAGCTTTGTGCATCTGCTTTGTTAATTATTGATTTGTGCTATGCCTGCTTAGTATTTCCATTGGGTACAGCATCTGCAGCTGTCCACTTGGCTGCTTTTGAGTCAGCATTGTTTTTACATATCCGACAGAACAATGAACAATTCCATCTTTCTGAGAAACTTTCTTTATATCCGTTTCTATATAAACCGTTAATATTGAGACAAAAGGATTGATGTGATTATCAGTTACTACATTTTCAAAGCACTGACTGCAAAATAAAGTTAATAATTTATTAAAACTGCCTTTAATAACTTATATTTAAGGATACACTTCCCCTCTTTATAAAGTTTGACTAAACTAAGGTTTTCCAATGTTAGCCAAGGATGTCATTGTAGTTATCCTACCATAACATTATTCTTCATTTTTATGTTTATAGTCATTTTTACAAACACTACCATATTATATTGTGGATCATTTTGATCACTATCTTTAATGATGACTTCCATTCAGGTCTTAGATATGAAAATGATGGAAAAATAGCAATTTTGATAGAAATATTATTCTTTTGTGTGTGCTAAGATTTTTGTTATGGAAAAAGCTTGTATTTTTCTTATTTAATAGTAACTTTTATTTAACTCAAATGTTAATCTGTATATCCATGTACATGCTACAGAGTAAACTATTCATAATCGATGGAGTTACTGAATAAAAAAAGTCAGCCAAAATATCTCTGTAATAAGAGAGGATCATTTTTGTTTTGGTTTTAGAAAAAAGATCAATACCTTCCTTTTTAGAGACTTAGAATACATTTGATCATTTACCTTGAATGGTGGAGCTGTGTAGTAAAGACCAAGAAAAAGGAAAAGAGAGATGGGGACAACTGGAGAAAGCTGCTAATTAATAAGTATTGCAAATGCTAGTGGAAAGACAACTCTATTTCATCTTCTACAGGAAAGGTTCGTTTTGGTGAGAGCTGATCAAGTATATATTATGCTTGAAACTGAGAAAAGGTTTAATTTCTTAAAAAGTTATCTCAGCTAAAATAAATTAGAACATTCAAATCACATGTATTCACTTAAATTTTATTTTTAATTTTTTAAAAAGAGAGAGAGAGTGAGAGAGCACAAGTGGGGGAGGGGCAAAGGGAGAGGGAGGAAAGAAGAGAGGATAGAAGGTTTGAAGCAGGCTTTGCAGTGTCAGGGCAGAGCCCAATGCAAGGCTTGAACTCAGGAACTGTGAGATCATGACCTGAGCCAAAGTTGGACGTTTCACTGATTGTGCCCCTCACTTAAATTATAGAGGAGACTTCAAAAAGGGGGGAAGAGAAGCTTGTAGAAAATACTTTTGACTTTTATTCCTGTTTAAAAATTTTTTTCTTTATGTTTATTTATTTTTGAGAGAGAGACAGCCAGAGATAAAGACAGAGCATGAGCCAGGGAGGGGCAAAGAGAGGGAGACACAGAATCTGAAGCAGGCTCCAGGCTCTGAGCTGTTAGCACAAACCCGGATGCTGGGCTTGAGTTCACGACCTGAGCCCAAGTCTGACACTTAACTGACTAAGCCACCCAGGTGCCCCTTTCCTTCCTGTTTATTGGAAACAATTTAATTTTTTTTTCAACGTTTTTATTTATTTTTGGGACAGAGAGAGACAGAGCATGAACGGGGGAGGGGCAGAGAGAGAGGGAAACACAGAATCGGAAACAGGCTCCAGGCTCCGAGCCATCAGCCCAGAGCCTGACGCGGGGCTCGAACTCACGGACCGCGAGATCGTGACCTGGCTGAAGTCGGACGTTTAACCGACTGCGCCACCCAGGCGCCCCTATTGGAAACAATTTATAACATTCTGTGTCACTGAAAATATAGCAGTTGAGGAAAGTTATTCTGCAGCAGTCTGCTTTTATAGAACAGAGCGTCTCTAATTGCAACACCCCATCCTTAACAAACATTAACAGAAGCCTCAGGGCAAGCTGTAAATAATGTTCCTTGACTCATAAAAGGAAAAAAAAATCCAACAAATAGTTTCTGTGACTCTAAAAAAAATTTGGGGGGGTGCCTGGGTGGCTCAGTCGGTTAAGCAGTCGACTTCGGCTCAGGTCATAATCTCACGGTTTGTGAGTTCAAGCCCCGCGCCAGATTCTCCGCTATCAGCTTGGAGCCTG